TAGCACAGGGCTGCACCTGAGCCTTAGTTTGGGGAAGGAGCAAAGTATTACCCTCACGCCGTGCAGTATGTGCAGAATTACATGGTCTCCAAAGAGGAGAGCAAGCTCACTGAAGTGCCAAAACCACAGCAGCAGGATCTCACAGGTGTTTGGAGGCTTAAGAAAAACTGGAGCTTCCCAAAATCCCGTTACAGATGCCTATATGCTTAGGAAAGAGACACAATGTACAAATTTAGGAAGTTTCATTAAAATATTGGGAAAAAGTTTTGTACAATGACATTTCATGGCTGGTGCTGTTTTGATGTTTCTAATAAGAAAGAAACAAAACCTTAGGCAATGCTGCAGGGTTTCAGCGGGACACAGACAGTGCTCTCAGTGGGCTGGCTTTTTATGATTGCCGTAAATGCTTAGTAAGGTTTCAAGGCAGGGTTGGGAGGAAAAAAACATCTTTTCAGGCCAACATCTGGATGAGTGAGAGTGTGTGTGTGTGTGTGTGTGTGTGTGTGTGTGTGTGCAGACACATGTGTATGCAAATGTGCACACACACCCCACCACACACACTTCCCTCTCATAGCCAGGCATGAAGAGCAGCAGCTGCTAAAAACTAGTTAGTGAATAAATGGAGAGTTACATCCTGGGTGAAAAGGGTACATGAGGAGAATGAATCCATGAACAGACTTTAAGTACCAAAGTGGTAACAGCCTTTTATGGAGAGCTGAGGTGAAGAGCAGAGTCACAAGGTGACAGGTGACAAGGTGATACAGATCTGGGGAGGATCAAACATACAGGTACCATGAGACACACATTATCTTTCCGTTCTGAGCAGGAACCTAGAGTGCACTTTCTAACACAATGTCTCACCAGTCAAATTTTTCACAGTGCCTCCAGCTCTCAGGGTTTAGCCAAGATGACAAAGGGATCATCCTGGTTTTCATACAGACAACTTTTTAAGCTTTTTCTTTGCTCCCCGAACATGCTGCCATTTTTCCCTGTTCAGAACTCTATTCCTTCCCACCCGGCATTAGCCACGGGCTGGGGTCAGGAGCAGACTCAGCACCCGCTCCCGGATCAGCTTTGTCCTTATCCCATAGATGAGGGGGTTGAGCATGGGAGGCACCAGGAGGTAGAGGTCAGCCATCAGGATGTGGAGGTGTGTGGGGATGCTCTGGCCCCAGAGCTGAGAGTAGATGGAGAAAAGCCCGGGCGTGTAGAAGAGCAGGATGACAGTGATGTGGGAGCCACAGGTGCTAAAGGACTTCAGATAAGCTTCTCTGGAGGACAGGCCTGTGACTTCCCTCAGGACTAACATGTAGGAGACAGTGATGAGGATGGAGTCTGAGCCCACCACAATAGTAGCAAAGGTGATGCCATAGATGTTGTTGAGCCGGGTGTCCCCACAAGCCAGTTTCACCACTGACAAGTGCTCGCAGTAGGAGTGGTGAATGACACGAGAGCCACAGAAGGACAGGCTGGTCACCACGCACGTCACAGGGGCCACAATGGCGATGCCACGCACTGCAGCAGCCAAACCCATCTTGGCGATGGTGGGGCCAGTCAGGATGGCAGAGTAGCACAGGGGCTTGCAGATGGCCAAGTAGCGGTCAAAGGCCATGGAGAGCAGGACCCCTGACTCCATTATGGAAAAGCTGTGGATGAAGAACATCTGGGTCACACAGCTCTCAAAGTGAATCTCATGGGAGTGGAACCAGAAGATGCTGAGGATCTTGGGCATGGTGGAAGTGGTGAGCACGAGGTCAATGGCAGCCAGCATGGAGAGGAAGTAGAACATGGGCAGGTGCAGCCTTTCGTCCGCCTTAATCACTAGGAGGAGTGTGATGTTGCCCAGCACCGCCACGAAGTACATGGTGCAGAATGGGAAGGCAATCCAGAACTGAGCATCCTCCAGCCCAGGGATGCCCACCAGGATGAAGGACAAGGCACTAGAGTGATTCGAGTAGGACATGAGGCACCGCTGCAGAGCTGGAAGGGAAGACACAGGAACAGCTGTTGTGGACAGGGAGAGGAATGAGCTGTGGCAAACACTGCTGAGGGATCCAGACACTCAAAGGAACCCTGCCTGTCTTCTCAGGCACACAGACGTGGGCTTGGTGATCCTCATGGATACCTTTCAACTCAAGATATTCTATTATCTGATTCTATGACACGATTTGTATTCTCCTGCCTCTTGTCTAGGTACACTCAGTCCCATCCTTGGCAAGATACAAGCTCGCATGGTCTTAGCCCAAACATTTGGAAGTTATCTTACCTCTCCTCCCATCCTGGGCTGGCCTCTGGCTGCTGTCTCCACTCCTCCCCTCAGTAGTCTGGGAGTTAGAAGCTAAAAGCTGAGCATACTTACTTGCCATCAGTACAAAAATCTAAGATAGGAAAAGGGGGAAGATCCAGAATGCTCTGAGGACACAACTCAGCAGAACTCTGGTCACCCACACAACTCTGCAGGTGAAAACCGTATCTTCTTCGGAACTGGTGTGTCCCATCTGATTCCCAAACCTGCGAAATTGCAGCAGATGCATATTTGCAACATCAGTGTTTGTTGCCCAGAGTGTTCTCGTGAGAGCTGGTGTCCTGTGCATGGACCAGCTGCATGCCCCATGTTCGGGACAGCCCCATCAGCTGTGGAGCTGTTCCTGCTGGAGCCCCAAAGCCAAACCACTTTGCTGGAGTCCCTCTCTGAACCAACATCTCGCCTACAGGATCCCAGTCTCCAGCCTTAGGAAGGAAAACCAGTGTCATGACCCAACGTGGCCTGAGGCTACAGTGCTGGTCACATCCGGTACTAACCCTCCCATGGTGTGTGGGAACCTCCTTACCCTCAAGCCCTTGGCAAAATAAAGAAGTGCTGTGAATTATCCCTGTTTATAGGAAAAACAGAAGTACAGAAGGGCTAAATTAGCCTGATAGCAGTACGGGAATTGGATGAAAGTTTCCCAGGCACTTGTACCCTCTGTTTTCCCCAACATACCAAAGGGACAGACTTCGTCTCCTTGACTTTCCAGACATTAGACTTCCCTGACTCCTTAAATAGCTTAATCTCTCCTGTAAATCGCTTTGAGTCTTCCACATGACTCAGACCAGGAGGCATCTCAGACTGTTGCCAGTCACGGCTATTTGCAATGTAAGGCCAAATACTGCAAAGCAAATATTGTGAAAACACTGCCAAGACAATGTTATTTGTAACAGTTTATTGCAAGAAGGACTCTGTTTGCAGAGCAGTCAGCTTCCTCAGCTGCAGGTTCGGGAGAGCCACAGCTGGCACAAGCCAGTCCGGCAGGAAACAGGTCTCGTGCCAGGATTGTTTATCTGGAAAAGGCAAACACTTCCTCTGCTTGGGAAAAAAAAAAAAGCAGATAATGCCTCCCTCCCCTGTGTCAGAGGTAATTGATCCATAAATCCTGTGTACTGTTCTGGGCAGTGCTACTTGCACTTGTCTTGTGTAACAAGGCTATGCAGATTATTAAATAATGCTATTCAACAAGCATCAGACTCAGCTTTTACTGGGTCCTTTTCATGTACCTGCTGTGCCAGTTCTGTCTGCTTAGGAGGGTCTGGTTCTTTGGGTACACATAAACGCATGAAATACCCAGGAAGCTCAGTATCTCTCATCAGCCATATGAGTATTGGAAAGACCATCCTGACTGCACTTCAGTTCCACCGACGTTACACCAGACCTCCTCTACATTTCATGGGTCGTCCTCTTGATGAGCCCTACAGCCATGATGCCAGAGTGCTGCCAGCTGAAGGTGCCTCCAGACCCTGAACACACACACGGTGACAGGTGTCTGCTGCCACATCCCAGCCCCGCACCCGGAGCAGCTCTTCCTTCCTGCCCCTAACTCCAACCCAGCCTTGCAGGGACCTCTCCCTTTTACCACCACCCCCAGGATGACCACAGTCAAACCCACACGCAAACACCGTGTTAGGAAGACATTGTGATTTTGGCTGTTTTCGAGGCAGGGGGGGGAGCAGCGGCAGGGGTGGGAGCAGCACTTTCAGGCTCGTTGCTGCTGATGTGGAGCAGTGCTCTCAGGCCTGTTGACACGCTGCTGAGCATTTTCTTTGTGCATGAAAAGCTGATGAGTTTTATTTTGTGCAATTTAGTTCAGTAACCTGTAAAGTGATAAGTTTTGCTTATTGCAGTAGCGAAACCCCAGATATTCTAGAAATGGGTGACATTACCAGGAACTGTGACCCAGCTTGCTGTACCCCATTAGGTTTGTTGCGAACTTACTGTACTTTATTTTTATGCAGTGAAATAAATTAAAATACCCTCAGAGAATGAGCTGCTCGATATCGAACAAAGAACAAAAGGAGTTGAAATCTTTGATTGCTAGCATACTGGCAAATCTTCCCTCACTTTGTAAGGGGGGGAATAGATGCTGGTACTTGAAGCTGAAATTTTAACTCTTTCCTCACTTGTTTTTGTCAGCTCTGTCTCTGCTGCTAAGCAATAATCATTAAATCTACCAGACGTGATGCACTTAACAGCTTGTGTTGTTCTTAGTCATTGCGAATCTACCAGGCATGCAGTCTGAGCCCACGGGGAACATCAAGCCAACTCGTTTTGCAAACACAGGCTGACCTGACTACTAAAAGCCACCCAGCGTTCCTGGTCAGCACACAGCTTGTCATGAAACAAAGATCCCTTGAGTTTTGAGTTTTAAGAGAGCTAGAGCAGTGATCTAGTCCAGATCCCTTCCTCAGCATAAGATCAAAAGTTATTTCTGATAGATGCATGCAATGTCCCATTGCAGACAGTCTACAATTTCCCCAAGTCACCCTTTTCAGATCGTTTTCCCAGTGTCAAGCCTATATCTCTCTGGAGCTTGTGACTTTTGTCCTTTCCATAAAGGAGAAGAATGAATTATTACCTTCCTTCTGGTGTTTGCCATCCTCTTCAGGTTTGTGCAAGCAAAAAGGACAGGACTGGAACTGTAATCAGGTAATTGTAGGTCTTCACAGGTGAAGGGGTTATTACACCTACGTATCTACAGCTTGTTTGAAGATGATTCAGCCAAGGAACAGCTTGCAGCCAAATAATTAGCACTGCTATAACTAACCTGTGCAAGGAAGCAAACTGGCATATGACTGGCAGCTCTCTATCCCAATATTCACTTAATGTGGGATATCTAGAAGTAGTGAAGTAGCTCATTAACTCAATAAAAGACAAAGTCCATCAAAATGTATTGGTATACCTGCATAGTAGCTTTTCTGGATAGGTTGTTTTATACTCCATCTCGATTTGGCTAGAATTTGAACTTGGCTCAGAGCTTGGCATCATGCTTAAAAATACTGGCATAGCACCAGATTAAATGAAAAAAAAAAATCTACTCAGCTCACCTGGATGATCTGGATGTGACCCTGGCTGTACCTACATCACCTTCAAATACCTTTTCTCTCTCACACAACCAAGCAAATCTGCCAAAAGGACCTGCATAGAAATACTTGCACATCTTAAGGCACCTCATCACCCTAATCACTCACTGCTGGGACCTCAGAGACACTAATCACCACAGAGGAGAAACTGCTGCCTGGGAATAGCCAGGAATAGCAACAGCTTGTAAACAAATTCACTCTTTTTTTCCACTGCAAGCACTATGTCTGCCCAGCATCAAGCAGAGACAAACACATCCTTGGTCTGCAAAGTGGGGAGATTTTCTCTCTGGGTGGGTAAACATCCCACTGGGCATGACTAGCTGTTCTCCTGGTGCACAGGGAATGTGTCCTTCAGGCTTAATCCTGTCAGTGTAAAACTTGATTTGGGTTTGGACCTGGTGTCACCATGCTCCTTCTGGGGCACCAGCTAGCTGCCTGGATTCTTAGGGCTGTATTATAATGTAACCTTTCATCTGAGGATCCTAAAGCATCCATGAACTTCAGTGAATGATTTGTAAATGAGTGCTGATCCAGAAGACATTGACCTCACCATGATTTAGTAACAAGAAAAACAGCAAATCAACTTTACCTATTATAAGGGAGTTGCAAAGAAAGTAGCACAATTTGGGTATGTTTTGCAAAGTTTAATGATTCTCTCTATTGTATTTTACTGAAAGGAGACTGGCATTCCCACTCAGCACAGTGTTCGCCGTAGCCCTCCTTGGGAACAGCACTCTCTCATACATGATGAAATGGAGCCATGTCTCAACACATCCATGTTGTTTTTTACCCCTCCATGCTGGCTGTCATTGACTTGGTGCTGTCGCTGACCACCATGTCTCAAATGCTGAGCAACTTCTGGCTCAATGCCCAGGAGATCACCTTCAGTGACTGTCTTGTGCAGGTGTTTTTTCTCCACAATCATGGAGTCAGCCATGGCTTTCAACAAGTATTTTGCCATCTGCAGCCCCTTCATCCACAACCTCCATCCTGACCATCTCCCTGGTAGTCAAGAATGGGTTGCTGGCTCTAGCCCGGGTAGCTGGGCTCATGTTGCCCCTGCTTTTTCTCTGTCTCCTGCCATACTGCTGCTCCCACACCATATCCCACCCCTACTGCAAACACATGGCAGCGGTGGAGGTGGCCCGTGCCAACACCAGGCTCAGTAACATCATTGCGGTTCTCTTCATTGTGGGCTTGGAGCTGTTGTTCATCGGGGACTTGTACCTCAGGATCCTGAGGACCTTGTTAGGCTCAGCATGGAAAGAGGACAGATTGAAGGTATTTAGGACCCGCCTCTCCCACATCCGAGTCATCCTGGTCTTCTACACCCCTGTAGTTCTCTCCTCAATCATCCATAGGTTTTGTTGCCATGTTGTATCTCACATGCACATCTTGATAGCTAACTTCTACCTCCCATTTTCCCCATGGTGTATGGTATCAAAACGAACTAGATCCATTGTGCTCATGGCATTTTTCTCTCAAGAGAATCTAAATTCTTGCACACCCCATCCACAGGAGTATGTATGGATATCCACACAAAAGCACACGCGCATTGCAGCCCATGGTAGGCCACAGGAATTGACCCTGGGCACGTAACTCTGATCCACTTAAAAAACTCCCACCACTTCTGCTGAATCTTTCCAGATTTAGGACTTGAGAACTGTGAGAGGATTGTACGTGTGTGCTGAAAATGGCAGCATTTCATCTCATCGCTGCTGCAACAAGCAGCAAAACCTCGCAGGCTGAGGAGAGAGCTAAACCCAGAGGTCAGGCTGTGTAGCTATGAGCTATCTCAGCTTTGACGTCACCGTGCTGATAGTGAGATGGAGGTAAATAACATTCTTATTTGAGCTCCACAGGCTGCGTTTCTTCTCTTTTTGTGTGCTAAGGAAGTGAGCTGGTAGCCTGCAGGTCCTCTCCAAAGAGCTATTGATCCTGGGAGACTATTTAACTGAAGCAGGTGGGGGAAAGAGGGGCCAAACTCTCTTGTCTTGTCAGGCAGGTGGGAGAGAAGTGAGGTTTGAGGTGCTGACCCTCACTGCCAGGAAAGGGATGAGAGAGATGTGTGATGCCCAGTGCTTGGGGACGTGGCGCTGGCACAAACCATCCCAGAGCCCCACACCTGCTCCCAGCCTCCGTTCATTTGCCCGCAGGAGGGTTGCTCACGTTTTCCAACATGAGGAAAGCTCATGTCATGAGGACAGCCTAGGCAAGGGTAAGGTTAGACCTTATTACCCCTTGACAACAAAGGCAGAGTCCTGTTTCCTTCCCTATTTGCACTAGGGGCTCAGGCAAGCAGCTCCCGGGATCACAGGGAAGAGCACAAACACCTGTGAACATTGATTTTTTACCTGTCTTTTTGGCTGTGATTGTCCTCTGTACGACTTAAATGAGATTTCTGTTGCCTGAGTTTATTGATGTGCTAGCCTGCTGTGGATCTGATTCATAGGTCAGTACTGCAAATACAGCACAAAAAAAGAAATAAATACTTCTGCTGAACTAATGTACCTACTTCCTTTATTTTCTCCAAGCCTTAGAATAAGAATTGTGTTTTGCTCTATAGCTGACATATTTATAAACCTGGACTACTGCAAAAAGAGATTCCTGTTCAGACTGATGAATTTCTGTGGCACAACAACAAAGTCAGACGTGTTTTACTAGCGTGTCTGTAGCTGTCGTACCCCTGGCCTGGCTTTTGCAATCACAGGGGAAAAATCCCCTCATCCAGCAAGCTCGTGTTGTATGTGGTGTCTCATCGTCCATGTGACTACGAGGGTCCTGGGGGCTTGTGGGGTCTCTGCTTGCTTTCCCCAAGCTGTCCTGGGCAGCTTCCCCTCAGTGAAGTGATGGCTGGCCGAGGTCAGGGTCAGAACACGATGGTTTCTCTCTGCCACCACTTTTTTCTCACTCATCTCCAATGCTCCACCATGGGCTGATGCAGAGGCTGCATTCCCTTTTGGGGTGTCCCTGCTGCAGTGTGGGTGCCCCATGGGCCGCAGTCCCTTGAGGATCTATCTGACCTGGCATGGGCTTATTCACGGGCTGCAGCCCATTCGAGGGTGAATCAGCTCTGGTGTGGGTGCTCCACAACCCACAGTCTCTTTGCTGGACGTGCTTCTACCGTAGTGGAGCAACCGCTGCTACTCTGACCTTGGAGTTCCCTTTGCTGTTTCTCACTCTTTTTGTTCACTCGCCTCTCGGTCTGACACTTTCTGCCCTTTCTTAGATATATTTTCACAAAGAGACCACAAACTCTCATCACTGGCTCAGCTTTGGTGCATGGACCCATCTGGAATGCTCTGTGTCCAGCACAGGGCAGCCCTAGCCCTTCTTCCTGGCCACCCCCGCAACCACCCAAACCCTGCCACCCACACCAGCACACCTCCCCATAAATATCTTGAGCTGCTATTTACAAATATTGTTTTGCTTTGTGCTGTGGGGATATCAAGTTAATTTGTTCCTAATTCAGGAAATGAAGCTCTTAATCAGATTTGCGTTGGAAATTTCAAATACCACAAAGTGGTATTTACCTGTTCCTTCTAAAAGTAATTTTCTAAATTATAGGCAGTGAATAAATGCAAGAAAAAGAAGACATAGTGGAAAATTCAGTATTAGATTAAAGTGCGTTTTACTGCCTGTCCCAGTGCCTTTCTGGGATGCACTGCAAGGAAAGCACAAGTCCCAGCTAAATGTTAAACTCCTGAAGGGCTCTGACTGCATCCATAAAGCCATCAACCTGCCAAGCTTTTACTACTAGTGCTTGCTGCGCAGAGTATATTTGCTCTACAATTTCCAGTCATATTTTATTGTTATTTGTACTGTGATAGTGACTGAGAGCCTGCCAAGGGCATAGAGGAGCACATTGCCCATCCCCAAAGCTAAGCCAAGAGAAGTCAAGAGGAGGGTGCAGTTCAGTCATCAAAAAATTAATTGAAATCAGGATCCTCTTTTTCTGTTTGGTCCTCACCCCACAGAAGATGGGGTACCAGGGTCTAAATGTTCCACACGGTGCTATGGACCAGTGAAGTCAGGTCCTGTCCAAAACTGTGCACGGTGCAAAGCCTCCCTTGAGGTGACTGAGACTCAATGGCCACTATTGATACAGTATTGGTACAGCCTGCAGGACCATTAGTGGGTTAGCAATACTCTAGGGGTTATTTATTATGTACCTTAGAAGCAACTGGGACAAGTCAGTCACCAGGGCCACGTTACATCCTGGTCCTGCCCTTTTCTGTCCCCCTCGTGACCTCTGTTTGGGACACAGAGTTGGGTGCTCAGTACTGTGCCCCAGAGGAATGTTGCTGATGTGGAGCCCAGACCCACCGTGCTGGGGTAAAGCCGTGGATGCAAGCCTGATTTTTAGGACTCACAGAGTTAAAAGGTGGAAGAAAGCGTGGGTGGGGTGAGAGGGGTACCCACGTATTCCTCACCCTGTGTTGCTGCACCCTGCAAGCTCACAGGCACAGCCTCATGACCATGGTCCAGGCTGGGAAGGAGCCAGCTCATGCTCTTGTCTGATCTCATTTTTTCAGAGCAAACTAGGGGTTATAGCAGTGTTTGGCAATAAAGCATAAGAGGTCTCAAAACAAAAATATTTTGAGGGGGTCTACTGAATAGAAATACAGATGCAATACAGCACTGGGGGAAACTGAGAAGGTTTGAGTTTTAACACTTTATTTAAACGACATGTATTTAAAGTCATTCAGCTCACTGTTGCAAGACAGTGATTAGGAACCAGCACGCACAGTAAAAACGTGCACATCAGTGGGGGGAAAGTAAGAGCCTCCATCTCTTTGTGCTTCCAACTGCGCAGCTGTGAGGGGACAGGAGAGATCGGAGGATTGAAGGCACCAGATGTGGTTTAGACAAATCAGAGCTACAGAACTGATTTAGTTGCCAAAAACCTGGAGACGCTGACATTCCTGCCTGTTGAAAGCGTAGAGTGGGGTCAGCTCGGCATGTGGAGACAAGAGTGGCCGGGACAGTGATGTGGGTTTCAGACTTGTATGGCAGAAGGCTACGGCTGGACACAAAGCTACTGAGGGCCATCAGCAGCAACATCGACACCACCATGAGCGACGGTGAGTGGGTGAAGAAGGCTGGAGGTAAGAAAGCACTGCAGCTGATTTCCCTGGGCTTAAACCGGAATGTGCCAAGCACAACATGTCCTGCAGACAGAATGATGGACAACATGGCCAGGAAAGAGCACATGGCCTTCAGTCCTCTTGTTGCATAAAAGACGGGGAGGCATTGCCAAGGCTTACAGTGAAACAGAGCGGAGGTGAGAAGTTTCCAAGATCGGGAAACCTGACAGGGAAAAATGCAGCCCTGGAACTGATGTTCTTGAACAAGCTCTGTGCAGATTTGCTGGAGCTCCTAAGCCTTGAAGTAAGGAACTCTATTTACCAAATATGCTATCACAATCAGCAACAAGATCTTAGAGACAAAGATGAGGCACAGAGAAGCATCAGTAAATCCTGTGTTGAGTTCCTGGCTTGGGCTCAGCCCTCCCTCACCGAGGTCGGTGGAAACATCTGCGCTGACTCCAGCAGCAAAGGAAAAAGGCCTCTGTAATTCAAATACCCAGCACAACCCTTGAGCAACTTGTGCTATTACCACTTGCAATGGTATTCACCGAGAGGTAACGCATCGTGCTGTGCACCGAGCAGTTACCGCTGCTCAGAACATCTGCCCTCCTGAAGGTCTCCTGGCAGGCACAGACACAGACACGGATACACAGAGCCTTGGGAGAAAGGAGGTGATGATAAGTGCTTTGTCCCATTGCAAGCAAACATGTTATCTTGCACAGAAGTCCCAGATGATAAGGATTGTAAATGTAATTCCAGGAGACTCTGAAGGTAAGGGCGAAAAATTGCCTCGCCAATCCGTAAGGATAAGGACCAGTGTGTACCACATCCATGGTGGGGAATCCATTGGAGGTTCTTCTGATTTGCACTCTTTTTTGGGGAACCTGCTGGAGATGTTTCTTATTTCCCTTGTTTTCTTGTATTCGACCTATCCATCTATCTAAATGCAATATACGCACATAAACAAATATCCATATATAAAGCATACCTGTGGATAAATCGGGGAGCTGCATGGAGGCATCCAGTGGTTTAAAGGCCCTGGCCTGGGTCTCTTCACCTTCCAGAACTCACGAGCTTCACAGATCAGGGTAAAATGGGGGAATTTTCTGAATACACATTTTCTGACAATTTTCTTTTTCCTACAGCTGGTGCCCCAAAACTGCCCTCACTCCCATTTTTGCACTGTACTTTTTTTTTCAAAGACAGGAAAACCTATTTGTACACAGTCCCATGACGCTCACACCCTCAGAAGGGCAAAGAAATCAATTGTGACTCCTGATGAGACCCAAGGGGTTTGCTCTGGATGGGTTAAACACGTCTTCCAGCCCTCTGCCTCACACCTGCCCGCGGCACAGCCAGGGCTGCTCCGGCTCCCCAGCCCTGTCCTCAGCTCCGACCAGGGGTAAGTATGGGGTGGGCTGCCTGAGGACAGACTAGAGATGTTCTTCCCCTGAGAGAACAATTTTCTTGAGGGCTCGCATCGCAACAAGAATTTACATGTCTGGCAGAAAAAGCAAACCAGCGTGTTGGAAAAGAGTTAAGATGGCAAATTGCTTTGCTAAACTTTAATTTTGATCTGTTATTTACTGATGGGCTTGATATAAGCCACCTTAATAATAATCTTGATCAATAATAAGAGTTTTTCCTCATTCTCTCATGGAATAGGAATACGTATGTTTGTTTCTATGATGACTTTCCTCCCCACAGGAGCAAAAGGGGGTCTTCAGATCCTGACTTTGTGTTCTTCACATCTTCAGTTACATCTTTTGCTCTCCCACACTGCTCCATTTCAGGGGGATTTTTCCCTCATGCCAGGGGCAGTCAGCTCTAACCTTTGTCTCAACATGACTTTCCCCTAGCCAGGGCAGCACCAAGGGCTGCCGGAGGGGACCTGCAGCCCGGTGAGCTTAGCTCACTGCAGGGACTGCTGCTCTCCTGCCACTGACCCTTTGGCTGTGTGAAATCTTGATTTATTTGTTTTTTTTCTGATAGTAGATGAGGTCTCAGCATGTGTGTGTGTTTGCACAGGCACACCCTAGGACAAATCGTAATCACTTTGTGCCCCTCAGTTATGTAAAAAATATTAATTTCCAGCTGAATAGATGCATGCACATTTTCCCTGACCAGCTCCGTCAGGAGCTGAGGATCTGATGCTCTGACCAACAGCTCTTCTGCTGGCACTTTTAAGATGCACTGAATTTAAGTGCATTTGCTGAGAAGCCCATTTAGAATATTTCTCTGGAAATCTCCCCTGTCTTCCCCAGCCTCCTGTCGCCGATCATCACTGCTGATTGGCAGTGAAGAAGCCCAGGAGAGCTGGCAGCTTCCCTAGTGCTTAAGCAGACCTGGTGTTTGCTGCTGGGTTTTCTAATGGCCTCGGGCAGACAAAACACCTCTTCAGTTCTCAGTCCTATCTGAGCCTCTGAATTTCTTCCTTCCCATTTAACCTCTTTGGGAGCCGTAAAGTACAAATCCATTTTCCTTCCGTCAGGGTTGATTTGGTTAATTGACTTTCAGGTTTAGCTGATAAAGCTTCCTAAACCATAATACATTTTGCCATACTTAAACAAAAGGAGAAGAAATCAATACATAACTGCACATAACGGGGCTACTTCTCATCTCGGAATGAGATGTTATCTCTTGTGGTCTGATCACACTCTGCTCAGCACAGACACAGACCTGTTTCTGCCTTCCGTTTTCTCCCACTCCATCCCCTGTTCTCTCTCCTTCAGCCTTGCAGGGACCAGCACAGCCAAGGCTGCTCCTCCTGCTACTGCGGGGACCAGCCAGCCCCGTTCCTAGGGTCGAGCTCCAAGGTCTCCATCCCACCTTTCCTCCTTCTCCAGGCCCCAGGATGTTTGGCCTACCCATGTTGCTGAGAACCTTTTGGACATCTCCCAAAGGGCTGAGCACCAAATATCCTGAAAACCTGAGTATTTACAAATTGGGGACTACAACTAGGGAGACATGTTAAATGCCATGCTGCTCTTTCCTCTTTATCTTTATTAGAAAAAATTTCCTCACCAAAAGGGTTGTTAAGCATTGCAACAGGCTGGTCAGGAAAGCGGTGGAGTGACCATCCCTGGAGGGATTTAAAAGATGTGTAGATGTGGTGCACAGGGGCATGGTTCAGTGGTGAGCCTGGCAGTGCTGGGTTAGCGGTTGGACTCAATGGTCTTGAAGATCTTTTCCAACACAAATGATTTTATGATTCTATGATTCTATCTGCTGCTGCTGCGCACAGTGCAGACAGGGATCCTGGGACCGGTCCACTGCGGCTTTTCCTTGACTGACGTGATGGTTATGCATGAGAGCAGCTGCACAGGGGTTTTGGGCTCCTGGGAGCCTGTCCTCCCAGCACTGTTGCAGCTGGAGTGCATGGAGTGCCTCGTAGCAGGGCTTTTATTCCAAGACACTATTATTTCCAGACACTTGGACCACCAGTGCATGAGATGTCATCTTCCAATAGAACTGAGTCTAGTCCCCTGGCCTTCATCCTCACTGGCATTCCCGGTCTGTCAGTGAGCAGCTCCTGGATGGCATTGCCTCTCTGCTGCCTGTACCTCCTCATGATCCTGGGGAACTGCACCTTACTCTGGCTGATAAAGACAGACCACAGCCTCCACACACCGATGTACTACCTCCTTTCCATGCTGTCCGTGGCAGACCTGGGCTTGTCTCTCTCCACCCTGCCCACTATGCTGGCTGTTTTCTGGTTCAAGTCCACCTCCCTCCTTTTCGAGGCATGCATTGTCCAGATGTGTTTCATCCACTCCTTCTCTGCCATCGAGTCTGGGGTCCTGGTGGCCATGGCTTTTGACCGCTTCATTGCTATTTGCTGCCCTTTGCACTATGCCTCTGTGCTGACAAGCTCTCTGATATTGAAGGTGGGGGTGGCGATCTTCGTGCGGGGCATCTGTGTGGTGCTACCTGTTGCTGTCCTTATTAAGAAGATGCCTTTTTGCAGGTCCCGTGTCTTGTCTCACTTCTTCTGCCTGCACCAGGACATGCTGAGCCTGGCTTGTGGGGATATCAGGGTCAACAGCTTGTATGGGCTGACTGCCGTGATACTCACCAAGGGACTGGACTCTCTGAGCATCCTGATGTCTTACATGATGATCCTCAGGACCATCTCGAGCATCGTCTCTCAGCCAGCACGAGCCAAAGCATTTAGCACCTGCATCTCCCACCTCTGTGCCCTCCTGATCTTCTACATCCCGCTCATTGGCTTGTCGCTCCTCCACTGGTTGGGGAAGCACCTGTCCCCCCTCACTCACATGCTCCTGGCTGATGCCTACCTCCTGGTGCCGCCTGTCCTGAACCCACTCGTGTACAGCTGGAAAACCAAGCAGATCCGCAGGCAGATCCTCATCCTGCTCTGTCGGAGAGGGAACCAGCAAGGGGTCTAGACCCAGACTGGAAATGCCCCAAAGACGGTCTCCTTCTTTTCCTCTCCAAACTGGTTGCTCGTGGGCAATATCATCTCCTGGAGAAAATCACTTCCCAGGAGACACTTGTCACGTTTTCTGCAATACAACTCTTCTCCTTTCAGTGGAGGGATGGATTACAGCAATTCACATTATTCCACCTCCCATTTTGGGATGCCTCACGTCTCAGAAAGTCTGCAAGAGGACGGAGCTGGTGTGGCCCCGTGATAAAGCTGTCTTCCACGCAGGGATGTACTGGAAAGCTTCGGTAGTGAGAAAAGAAGTGACATTTCTCTTTATTTATTACATTTGTTTGATTATTTATATTTTATTATCTCACATTTTTTATTTGCTGCTTTGGTAAATGTGCTGCGAGCTTCCTCTAACTGTCCTGGGTATTACTATGGGGAACCCAAATGACAAGGATCAGTGCTGGGAAAGGGAGTTAGGCGGGGTTTTTTTGCAAACATGGCAGAGTTATGGGAAAATTGTACCTGGCTTTTTCTTTCTCATCAGGGTAAGGAGTTGCTCTGTCTCTTCCACAGTCTTTTGGGTACTGTCACTGGGAAGTGCCAAGTAAAACCATCAAGAACATGTGATTGATGCTGTGCAGAGTCATGTCAGTCAGACGTTGGGAAGGGACAGGTTTCTAGAGGAGGAAACACATAATCCTTTTAAAAATAAAGGTGAATGCAAGGCAAATGTGAGTGTTTAATACATAG